CTAGCTGTTCTAGCAGAAGAAGCCCTAAGAACACAGCAGCACCTCAGTCCCAACCCACTCTTTCTTTGAGGAAAACCTATCTCTATTTGTACACAGGTAACTTTCTTCCTCAGGATAACATGGGTGTTTTATGATATTAATCTTATTAGAGACAACAAAATAAAATCTTAAGGAATCTAAACCCAATTCAGAAACTGAAGGTTATTCAGATGCATGAACCCTGTATTCCCAGTATAGAAGAGAGTAGGTGACCCTGTGGGTAAAGATACAGATAGGACCAACAAGACTGAGGTTTAAAATGTCCCTCTTACTTGCTGCATTATAAATCCAGAGCTGTGTGTTAAAAGGAATTTATAGAGAGCGTTCATACCAACAGTACATTTTGTAAGAAGTTACTGAGAGATTTTGGCTTCTTAAGGAATTGCCAGAATGTTTTGAACTTTCCAAATATTTGAAGGAATGTTAAAATATCATCTAGAATTTGAGTAGATAAATTCATTTCTTCAATATTGCATAGAAAAAAATGTATTTAATTCAGATACCCCAGGATAACTATATCATCACTAAAAGAGATTAATGACAATTTGAATATGTTAAGGTAGATTTAGGCATATATCATCCCTGTCCATATTTCTCAAAATAAATTTCTTAATGATTTTTCATTAATAAAAGAAAAATTTCCATTGCCACTTGCATGTGGAATAGAGGAGAGAAAAAAATCATTTATTTAGATGTTCTAAATTGTTTAAAGGATTTTATTTTGATTGTAATATTTTTCCCCACAAAATCCACACCAAAACAGATACACAATTTTCTATTTCACAAATGAGGAAGCCTCAATTAAAAATGTTGCCAATGGTTGCATAAATAGTTAACAGTGGATTTGGGTTTGAACCTAGTTCTAACATACTTTATTGTCATATTAGAACAATTACAAGAATATTAAAAGTAAACATTTTAGGAATAGGTGTAAGATGTTTAAAGAGAATTGAAAATTAACAATGTCAAGCTGTGTTCATGTTTAAATATTTTGCTTTGAAAAAATGAAATTCATTATAGTTCTTGAAAATGTGTGGAAATCATGAACCTCCACTATGTCTACATAATGATATGATTTCTATTTCAGATGCCATCCTTTACTTCAAGAAAATAAAACAAAATTCAATTCACTAAGAAGAAGTCTACTCAAGGAGAGTCTATTATACAACACTTGTACATTGTTTTGGAGTGCTGGGTGCTCTTGAAGTTTTGAAAAATATATTCCCATCACTTTGAATTCCTATGGAGGAGGGAGAGCTGGCTTCGTAGACCTGAGAGAATTCTACAGAAGAACAGTAAAGAGAGTGGATTCTAGACCCAGATATAACTGTGTTTCCTTCATTTATC